GGCTCCAGGGCATGCCTAGAGTTCTCCACTCTACTACCCAGAAGAGCGGTAGCCTTGGGGGGCCTAGGTTGCAGCAGCCCTGGGACTCCACTTGCCTTGGAGACACTGCCCTGGACTTTACATGCCCTCCCGCCATGGTGGCCTGTGGGTGGGGCACCTGAGGTACATTGTCCCCCTCATGGGAGCCCACACAGTAGGGACCTGGCCCTGTAACCCCCCGTCCAACTCCCTCATCCCCCAGGCTGAGATGGCTGGGCTGTAACTGCTCCCCGTCACTGAAGGGGACACATGCTTTCCAGTCGCCTTATGGGAGTGAGGGACTTGGAGGCAAGGCGCCCTGCTCTCTGCCCCCCCATGTCGAGTTGAAGTGTAAATGAATCGGAAACATATGGAGTGGATTTCCTTTGAAATGCAGATGGGTTGAGGGGGACCATGTGTGCCTGGTTTGGGGGGTCCTGGAGAGCAAGGAGGCTGAGAAGAGAAAGCTGACCCCTCCTCCAGAGCCACCACGAGGTGGGGGAGACCTCAGCTGTGTAAACTCCTGTGGCCCTGGGTGACCACACCCACAGGCTCCAGGCTTCCTGTGGGGAGGGGCTGGGAGGCCAGTGGTCCCTGTGGTGGAGAGTGCTGAGGTCATCATCCCCCTTTACCTCTGCAGAGGGCAAAGAGAGCCCCCAAAGCACAGATCTGGGCTGGGTTAGGGGTCACCAGAGCTGGGAGCTCTGGGGGCCAAGGGTGGAAGGAGGAGCTAAAGCAGATGTGGGGGAAGAGTTAGACCAGGCTGCAGAGGGAAACCAGCTCCCAGAAGCTGGGCGAGAGCTACAGTAGGAGGAACTGAAGTTAGACTGTGGTGGTGACTTGTGATCAGCACAAGGGTTCATCTGGGAGTTAGGAATGGACTGAAGAGTTCTCAATCCTGCAGGAGGATGGTTTTCTCTAGACCCAGGGTAGTCAGCCTGCCTCACCATACCCTCCCTATTCTTTCCATGCACAACACTCAGCAAGGTTGCACAGCAGTTGCCTGTGAGTTCTGTGGAACCCAGGGACTAGGTCTGCTTCACTCACCACCCTACCCTTGCCCCTGGCACAGACCTAGTACATAGTACAAGGTGTACCTCCTCACCCATAAGACTGAGTGTTCCTTGTGGGCAGAACCATGGCCCTATCTCCCTGCACCGTGCCTGGCAGGGAGTAGGTGCTCAATAAATGTTGAAGAATGAATCACTGAATGGGACAGACCATGGGGAAAGGTAACCCTGTGGGGTTTGTGGTTTGAGACCCAACAGCCCCCGTTGTACACCCCTGTTTGGCTCAAAGAAACCCTGAGTGGCTTACAGGCTAGACTGCAGGAAGGACTTCCCTTCACTCAGGGAAGGAGTGCAGAGGATAGGCACCTTCTTCCTTGGAAAGGTCTGAATGAGGGGAAATGGGCAGGGCAATAACCCTGATTCTGTGGCAGAGGTAGAAGGTCCCTCTGCTCTCTCCTCTCAGGATTTTTCAGAAGGTGGGAAAGTCCTTTTTCCCCATGTGGTTCTGAGCATGTCCCTTGTTCTCTCCAGGTCTCAGTTTCTTGGACTTTAACCAAGGGAATGGACCCATTTGAGCCTCCAAGTTTGGGCTCTGAGGCTGTGTGGCTGCTGTGGGCACCATAGTCTGTCTGTATTGGTTATTGATGTCTGTCTGAGAACACGGGATCCTAAAAATACTCTGTCCAGTCTGAGTCCAGGCATTGCTGGTGTGGGGGCCAGTGTAGCAGTGGTTGCATCTTGGTTGGGTACATAAAGACAGAGGAGAGACTCAAACACTCACCCAGAGCCACGAGAGACTGGGAGAATCTGTGAGTGTGGGGAAACTGAGGAAGCATGGGTGGGAGATGTGTAGGAGACAGAGCCTTTGTTTTATATGGAACAAAGATTTATAAAATCAGTGGTGCCAGTTAGTCAAATTATGGCAACATTTAGGGTAATCTGTTATCCTACGCTGCTGAGAATTTCCTTCTTAGAGAGTCTGGGGATACATCTGATATCAGACATAAAAATCAAGTAGTCAGTGGAAACCATTTCAAGTCCAGCTTCAGAATGTTCCAAAATAGGTGTGTGGCAAAAAAAGCGCCCCCAAATCTTCCCCAATCAATTTTCTGAGTCACTGCCCCCCATTCCTACCTCCTCAGAACCCTTCCTTGCAGCCAGATGCCCAATGAGGGTCTTCAGACCCCCTTTTTGTAGGCCCCCTCACTTCTGACCCCCAGGCCTTTGTATAGTCCCTCTCATTAGGAGAAGGGAACTGCACGGTGGTCCCAAAAAGGCAAGAGGAGCCAGAGTCTGAGGGCAGATGCCATGTGACCTTGGCCCATGAGCTGACCTTTCCAGGCCCCTCCATGAAATGGTGAGATGGGGGGAGCTGGGCCCAGGCCTGGAGAGGAGGCGGTTTTGGCACCCATCCAGGCCCCTGACGTCAATGACTCTCCAAATAATGGAATCAATATTGGGGGGGGGGGCAAGCGTGAACCAGGCCCCAGCGATTAGAAACAGATCAGCACAAACCCGCAGCTGATTCTGATAGAGCTGCCTTGGAGAGCTAGGGTGGGAGGCCTGGAAGGAGGTGGACCTGGGGTGGGGGTGGGGGGCATCAAGAATGGGGAGATGGAGCTACCGAGTGAGTGTCCAGAGCTTGAGGGTACACAAGTGGGCAGAGACTCAGGCTGCCTGGGGTTGGAATGATGTGGTGGGGGCCCCTGTCTTGATCCATCCTCCTTTGAACATATGGGGTTCCAAAGCAAGGTGAAGTATGTGGATGGAGACTTCTTTCAGCCAGTGAATTATAAAGAGTGGGCAAGGGGAGTTCATCTCCCTGCATCCCACACCTGGGACCCTAGGCCATATTAGGGGTTATAAGTTATACCCAGGTAAGAGAAGAGAGTTCTGAGTGAGACCTAAGTCAGATGACCTTTTACTTGGAGGTAGAGGGCATTAATCCAAGATAGATGGGTATCCCCCCTCAGATGGGGAGTCTGGTCTCCTCCATCATCTCATGTTCTCTCAGCCTCCTAGAAGGCAGCGGGTGAGGATGGAGGGGGCCATGGGATCCACGGGGG